TGCTGATCCCTCTGTGTTATAGAAGTACACCTTAACTTTAAACGAGGATTGCTAATCTCTCTCTTCATTACAACCTTATTCATATAACTACTCCAAGCAACATGAAGATACTCTTAACAATTATTTCAATGTTACACACTTTTATTTTTTTTCTCAGTTTCACCAGAATCTTATGATAGTATTGAAATCCAAAAAATTTATTCCCTTAATTTTTACCTTTGTTTCCTGAGTTCACGATATCCTGGGTTTACGTTATGCTTTCCATAATTGCATGATAATCCTATTATTAGCCCTTACGTCATTGTATTTGTGATATTTAATACCAAATCTATGATTGGATATGGGTGGCTTTCACACAAAATTAGGTCACTTTATTTTTGTCACATTGATATTATTGCAGTTAATAGAAGTCGAAACTCTGTCCAGCATAGCGTAGTAACTATAAATTGAAATAAAAAAGTATGCCAGCTTATCAGAAGTCCCAAAAAAACCTTTTTAGAACAATGATACATTTAACGAACATCAATTTTTTATGAATAACCTTTGATTATAAGAATTGTTTTAGCATTTTTGGTTTTTATTTTCGTTCTATATTCATAAAGAATGAAGCAATACACAATTTTATGTGCATCCTCACAATTATAATTTATGTCAATCATAATTAATTCCTAATCTTTACAACCTTTTCTTACCCTCTAAACAAAAATATGTAAGATACTTCTTTGATTTGTAGTATAAAACTCAAATAAAGATTATGATGCAATATTATTTTTAAATAAAGAAAATGAATTACTAGAATGACTTGAATGAAGATTTGTATGGGAGAATCAATGGCAACTCTAATAAGAAATGTTATAGATAGAAAATTTATTACAGATCAATAAGGAATAGATGCTAAATTTGGAAAAAATAGCTTTAAGAAAAATAAGATGTGTTCTCAAAAAAACAAAAGACCATAAATTTAACAAACAGAATTACTCTCTAGAAGAATATCAAGAAATGAGATAAAACCTGATTATTAATATATCGAATTGATATGAAGATCATAGAGTTATTAAAATTTTTCGTTCATTTTACTGCCTTAGATGAGTGATATAAATAGTGTGGATCAAATTCTCTTCATTTATTAGTTTAAATGAAGGTTGAGTTGAAGACATTATCTTTTGAAAACATCAAAATTCAAAATACTTCACTTGAGGGAGCAAATTTTGTCAAATGTGACTTGAGTGGATCTTAAGTGGATAATATCATAATTAGTGGAATGAAATTGAATGGAGCCAAATTATATAATTGTATATGGAAGAACTTAAGAATAAACGAGATACAGAAATCAAAAGGAATGATGGGAATGTCAATTAAGTTTGCTTTACTTCAGATGGGAATTCATTAGTCTCTAGTAGACATGATAATTTAATTAGGTTGTGGAATATATAAACAGGAAATAAAAAGTCTGTATTAAAAGCAAACAGTTAGGTAAAATCAATATGCTTCTCGCCTAAAAGTACTAAATTAGCTTCTTGCAGCGATGATTTTTTATATATATGGAATCATAAAACAGGGAAATCAATATCAAAATTAATAGGCCATACTAATAAAGTTTATTCAGTCTGTTTCTCTCCTGATGGTACTAAATTACCATCTAGTAGTTCTGATACCTCTATCCGTATATGGGATGTCAAGACAGGAAAAGAAAAAGTAAAATTAAATGGCCATAAAATTAATATATATTCAGTCTGCTTCTCTCCTGATAGTACAACATTGGTATCCGGTAGTAAGGATAATAATAGACCAAATTAGATGGTCATACCAGTTATGCTTATTCAGTCTGTTTCTCTCTCCTGATGGCAAAACATTAGCGTCTAGTAGTTCTGATAAATCTATCCGTTTATGGAATGTTTAGACAGGATTATAAAAAGCGACATTAAATGTTCATAATAGCACTGTTTCTTCAGTCTGTTTCTCTCCTGATGGTACTTTATAAGTATCTGGTATATGAAACTTAATACTTTTAATTAGAAAATAAAATTTTCAAAAATTACTTTGTATTAAACAAAGCCGTCATTCAAAATTAGACAGATGAATATTATATTTAGTTAAAGAAGAGATACTACAAATTTGATACCACGAAGCAGAATATCTTTAAGTCATAAAGCCTTCAAATTATTTAACGAATTTAATAATCCAAAAAAAGGAATTAGATAAATTTAATTTTTTGTAAAAAAGGACATTCAAATATGGAGGATTTACTGAAGGCAAATTATTCAAATAAAATTCAATGGGAGAAATTTTGGCGAAAGGGAATTAGAGGGTCTCTATTTTTTATTTTATTTTTATTGCTTAAGGGCAAATTAGGCAAGGATTTTATAGGAAGAAAGATCGAATACGGAATGAAAAAGCTTAAGAGCATTCAGACTTACTTATAGAATAAAAAGAGAAAAAGAAAATGCCATTTAAAGGGTTGGTCTAAACTTCATTGTTATGATAAGGATCTATTCTAATATAAAATATTTTCTGTTATCTCAACTTTAACATCGATTCCGTTTTTGTATTAAATGATACCTAAATTTTAGAAATTCACTATTGCCTCCCTTCTATAGGAAATATAATGTCTTATTTGAGATTAATGGTTGATAAGTGCTAAACAAAATTGTCAGGATAAAGTTCTCCATAAAATATAAAAGATTCTTCAAATCTATTAAACAACAAAAGTAGTGTAATTACCTGCAAGCAATGCTAGCAGAGTCCACTTAGTGCAAG